AATAACCACAGAATTTAAATCAGACTTCCCGTGACTTATCAAAGCTTAGATGGAGGCTGAATGTAAAAGAACACGCTAAAATAACAGTGCCATAGTTCTTTGCTTTTGCAGCATCCTTTATCAGTAAATCTAAAATTGCATTATTAAGTAGGTTAGTTGCAAACTGAGGTAAAGAGAGATGGATTGGATTATCCAGGTTTTATCAATAAGTAAATTGATAAAATTGGTGGTTCTATCAGTAGGTAGACAGGGAGTAGAGAAAGGGTCCGTGGAGCTCCAGGCGGGGGATCTGCCTGCCGAACAACACTGTCTCATCTCCTTTTGTCCCAGATAACTGAAGGATTTGATTTGGGTGAAACAATGAGACCCAGACTCCCAACTCTTATTCACCAGCTTTGTTTTTGCACGTTTCTTCACCTGGGCTGCATGGAACCCATCCCAGCTGATCCTCCTCACAGTCCCTGTTACTCAGCCTTTGGGGTTAGACTACTCACTGTACAGCCTGAAGATTTCCTGGTATCGACACGATGACTGTGTTTTCATCATCTTGGTGGGGGCATATCTGATAACTGCCTAATTCCAGGACTATGATTTCACTGCCTGCAATTTTCCACTGAGGTGCTGTGCAGCTGTACCTTGTTCCAGTGGAGTCTGAAAGCTTTCGACTCACTACTGGGTGAAACTACTGTGAAAAGAATAAGATTAATGTCAGCAGCTAGGAAGTTTATCGTGATGACACTGCATAGGCTCACGCAGGATGTTTACCAGAGCAACAGTTGCCAAGCAGATAAAGTATGTTTGGAAGGTGCATTAGCCGCAACTGCTGAGGAATGAAACGTATTTCTTGTACTTACTTGCATTGGAGTGACTCTATGAATGCTTGATTCATTAATAGTGCCACTCCCACTTCTTGAAATTAGGAGCCAGGGAAGCTAAGAGATTAAGAGTCCGTAGATTTTTGCCCAGACACAGAGAAGACAACGACCTTGGTGGCGAGCGTGCAGATTTGTTAATACCAATTTAGGAGGAAGTCAGCAGCTTGAGCTTTGTTCCACATCCCGTTTCTAGTGTGCATTTGCTGAAGTAATGCAGAAATGTAAGCAATACCTACTGGCATTTGGTGGAGAAGGGACATCCTCCCACTGCAGTGTATCCTGCTGTGGCTACTCTCTACATCCCCACCCGCGGATCTGTTCCCATCTTAGAGATCCACTTGAGCCCGCTTGGATCACAGGGTTAGCGTGGATGTGTCATGACTTTTTACGTAGTTAGCAGCACAGAGGAGAGTGAGGAAGCTGCTATTTTATTTGCCTTTTCAGCCCAAATTACTAGGTACCCAAATATAGCTGGGTGGTAGGAACAGTTTGGGCACCACTTCAAAGAACGGTCTGATTTTATACCTTTGGATCTATAGAGAAATGTCTTCACTTTCTTGTCACCACACCCAACTACTAAGCATGTGTTGTCTCTATTTTTAGCAGGCACTAATTGCAATGTGCAAGTAAATTACTTTTAAAGTGTTTTCCTGGAGTTTTCTACTTTTGAAAAGCCAGGTGTGCAGAGATTCTTTTTTTCCCTGAATACTAGCCATCTATTAGGGATGTAACTATTGGGTTTTTTCTCTCCCACGAAAGTTTTCAAGGCTTAGAACATTTTCCTATGCCAGACTGAAACAAAAATATGAAAACTTAAAAAATTCTGCAGGGAAATTTCAAACTGGATTCTTTAAACCATCTGCTAGTCCTACAACCATGTAAGCATTTGAACATAACCATGTTAATTTTTTTTTAGATTTACTTTGTGCAAACTAATGAAATTTCAAACTGAAAGGCAGTTTCAAACTGAAAACCAAACCCCTTGTTTTGCTTGATTTAAGTGTCCACAAGGGACACACTGAAGACTGAAAATATGGCTTATTCCCACCGAATGTGGAAATGTATTTCCTATAAATCATTTCAGGTTGCACAGCCTGGCGATGCTGCAAGCAAAGTATTTTTCATCTCACAACTCCCAAGGGTCTGAGAAGACTTGCTTTCAGGGTCACTGTTTGGAGAAGCCTCACTTACAGTGTAAGAGGCTAATTTCCAGGTTTGTTTCTCTGCTTTCTGTAGAGTGGCCGTCAGAGCAAGAATATCATAACTGAGAGAGCAGAAAAACATCACCCGGCCACATGAAATGACGATACATATTGCTTGGTCCTTGGTGCTTTTTTTGTCGTGATGGCAAAGGAGCGAAGCCTCGTAAGCACACGCTTGCGTAACTCGTGTGGATCCTGCAGAGTTTGACTTCCAAATTTTGATCAGTGTGTAATCATCCCAGTTTAGAATTTGAATTTCCCAATACAGCTTTCATTTCTCCATCAAGCCCTGAGGGATTCAGATATAGGTGTGTTTTAATGATGTCGACACGTGTCTATTAGAAACTGCAGCTGGGATTAATGAATCATTTTACTTACCCTATCAAACAGCTATCCAGTGGTTTTCATCACTACTGACCTGGGCTTTAGTCCAACTTCTGATGTAAAGGTGGAAGCCTCTGTATCCTATTACGGTTGTCTGGGCTGTGAATTGCTTTAGTGGGTGGCTTTAGCTTCTACAGAGATGGTGGAATACTCAGCAAATAAAGAGGCCACCTGGGCCCCTGGATATCGTAGTGTGTTAGGTAATCACTGAATGACATTTTTGTACATTCAAGTTCTCCCAGATGTCAAAATGATGGTTATTGGGCTAAAATGTCTTGAAACCTGAAATGTTTGATGAATCAGTCCTATATGAAATTTTGTATTCAGAGGGCATTTCCTCTAGTCAGAAGTGAAACATGCGTTCTTATTTATCGGTGAAGTAGCTTTCCTGAGAAACATTCTTTTAAAAAAAAACAACAGGCATCAGCTGGAAACGGGTCTGAACTGAGAGCTGAGATCTGAACTGTCCAGACATCCTCAGATCTTAGGGCTCATGTGGCCCGATTTCAAGATTTGCCTGGCTACAAACCGTAGTTCCTAGGGCTCTCTTTTAAACAGATGTTAATCGGTGTCCAGTGTGTCGCTTTTCTCTACTTCCTTACTAGCATGCATTAAAGCCGGTGCTAATATTCAAAACGTAGATATCAGTGCTAAGCTAATGGTTGTTCCTGTTCACAGGTGTCAGTACAAGATTAAAAAATCTGTGATTATAAGGAAAAGTTTACCGATGCAACCCATGCTGAAAGCCTGAAATCTGTCTAATAGATTTATAACAAATTTCTTACAATAAATGTAAAAGCTATATTCTCTTAAAGGAAACAGAATGAAAACTATCTGCTCTGTCAAACCCCTAGTTCTGTCCCTATTTTCAGCCTCAATTTATCACATCCTGGTGACATATCAATCATCTTGAACCACAAACCAAAAAGGAAAATCACCATGAGAACATCACACTAACATTTCCTGGTTGCCATGAAATGCAGACGGTGGTTTTACCAAGAAGTCTGTTTGCAACTTTGTGCCTAAGTATTCCTCTAGAGGTTTTCATTTAAGGTGGGGGCACATCTTCCGTCTCCGTTACATTGTTGTGTCTCTGCAGTTGTTAAAATAACTATTTTTTGAAAAATAGAAGACAGCATTCACCTTGAGAATGAAACCTCTAGGTACTGTCTTGAAAACAATGAAAAGCAGGGAGCAGTGCATGAAACATCTATAAAGTGGGTCAAAAATCTTTATGGAAAATTGACTCAAATGGGAAGAGTTTGTGTGAGTCAATGTGACTTCTGTGTGTAAGCATTGCAGAACCAGGGTGGAAGTGGAGATTGCACCTGGCTCCTTGCTCTGACAGCTTCTGACAAGCCTCTCTCCTTAATAACCAGGGTGTAACTCACACTTTCATGGAGGGACGATGCTCTTTAGTTTCTCACAGCTGATTCTATCACATCAGTGGGCTCCAGCTAGCAAATTATCTGTCCAACTGGAGCTAGTGATTTTTGCCGAAGAGTATTAATTGAGCCTGGTTTAGATACCTGAATGGCAGAGAAGGGCTTGCATGTATGAGGTGCTCCTCTCCCACAGGCTTTGTGTGTACTGGTTGCTCAGGGTTCGCAGCCTGAGGGCCAGAAAATAAATTGTACAATGCAACTATGGCACCTAATTTTTATTTATTTTATTTTATTTTGTTTTGTTTTGTTTTGTTTTTTATTTTAATTTATTTATTTATTTAGTATTTTTATCCTCATAGTGCTTACCATTGAATGTTACTTCTATGTGTAAGCCTTGACAATATTAGTAATTTAAAATCCATCTAAAACATCCTTTAACATTACCAGAGTACATATTGGAACTCTGACATACGTTCGCAGTAAGATCTTTGTGTGTGAATGTGAACTCAGCCATAGGAGGGAAATACTGCCCAAATGAATGAACAAGCTGAATAAGAAGAGTTTAAAGATTGTCTGACAGGAAGTATTTAATGGCAAAATGTTGTTCTAGTTCAGAATATCTGTGCAGCTCACTTGGGTCCTGTCGCAGGTCAATCATGCAACCTCGAACCAACACAAGCCTTCTGCAAGGGATCACAATGAGATAATTAAGGAATCTTACGAGCATAAAGGCTCTGATTAATCACCGTTTCATCTTAAAGACAAATCTGTCATGAATGAAATATTTTTTTCAAATGCATTCAAATATTCAGTTAGTTTGGCAGTAATGTGGCTTCCAAGACTTTCACAATATATTTGCATCTTCTGTGTGTTATTGTTAACACTGTTAGAAGTGCTAGATACCTCACAAAAACATGTCGTGTTGCTGTTTTTGGAAAGGCTGAAGATTTGGCTTGTGTCTCAGCCCAAACGAGGGAAGTATGAAGAAGGTAACTGAAAAGAATCGCATTCCTTCTGAATGGATCAGTAGCTGCTACTTGTTGTTGGATTGTGTTCAAAGTACTGCACTCGAAAACAAATCCTTTCCAAGTATTCAGTGAAGCAATAAGTCCAACAATTTGTAATTCCTTTTTTCCCCTTTCTTTTGATAACAGAATTCAATGTGAGTTGCAGATATGGAGGAGTTTTTCATGTTGAGAAAAATGGTCGCTATAGTCTCACACGATCTGAAGCAGTTGAACTCTGCAAAGCCCTCAACAGTACCTTGTCAACACTAGAGCAGTTGAAGAAAGCTCATGAGCTTGGATTTGAAACTTGCAGGTAAAGAAATTATTGAAAAAAATGATAACATATTTTAGCAAGTCCATTCATCCATGCTGTAGTGTCATAAATGCAGTTGACTTCATACAGCTGTTAATTAGGTGGCCACATCAGTCCTCAAGTAAGTTATATTCTGCGATGGACAAAACATCTTTGTGGACTTGTGCGTTTGCTCCAAGTCTGACAGTAAATGTCTTGACTGCATATACTGTTTGCCAATTATCTTTAAAACATCATAACCTCTTACAGATAAAATCTGAAGATAACAAAAGACTGACAGTATAATAAACTAATTAGGAAGAGATAATAATAAACTAATTAGGAAGAGTTCAGATTGTACTATATGACGGACTAACTGGTTAGAGAGTATATGAAAAGGATTTACATTTTTTGATGATTTGATGTAAGGTCAAAGCGTGAGCATGATATACAGAACAGGGAACTCTGTACTGTATATCGTGTGAATAAGATGAATCAACAGTCCGTAAAAGAAGTAGGTGATTAATGGATTATAAAGTGTCAACATCATGGGCTCAGTTGGAAGTGAGAGTCAGTAGTTTATAATTCCACCTACGAGAGTTTCAGAATTACAAGTATCTGCACATCAGATATGCAATTGGAATGGGGCTTGCAAATTAAAAACTGCAAAGCTATGAAATTTACTGCTCCCTGATAAATCATACCTCTCAAGAAGTAAAACAAAACCCAAAGCAAACCCCAGTAATCATTTCCATTTTATCACACCTCCCAGCTAAATACATTGGAATTAATGATGTGTTTCCATATTGCAAAACAGTAACAATGCATTGTGCATTATATAGCTCTGGTAACCAGAGTCTTAACTGAAATATATGAGCTCTGTATGTGACAGCTGCATTGTTTGACTGAAAGACACAGTTAGAATTTGTGGCTGAGTGAGTGTTCTACCTGAATATTTTACTAAGCTGACAGCTTTTGCACAAAGTGATGTCTAACAACCATTCTCTGACTTTGCTCAGATACTACAAACTCTCACCATAAATATGAGAAAGGAATACCCTTCCTATACAAAAAAAAAGCATTAATAAACACATGCACTTTTAAAAAATAAGATTAAAAAAATGTCTTCTTCATGCTTGAGGTATCCAGAATGTTTATGCCATCTGCTATGGTATGTAATACGGTGTATTTTCCTCTTCACAGGTATGGCTTTGTAGTGGGGCATATTGTTATCCCACGAATCAATCCCTACCATCTTTGTGCAGCAAATCATACTGGCATTTACATGCTTTCATCAAACACAACTGGCCGGTATGATGCATACTGTTACAATGCAACAGGTACGTCCATGCGTTTATGACGTTTTTTAGACGTAGATTAACTTGCAATGACGTGTGTAATCTCCTGTTTAAGGTACTGCGCTTCCATACTAAGTATCACAGGGTCTTCAGCTAAGAAGAAACTCGGTTTGTCAGTCTCTAGAAGTGTATCTGTAATGCCAGCAGTGAATTCTTTAATGTTTGTGATTATGTGCAATTCATATGGGTCCACATGTGATTTTTTTTCTCAATTTTATCGTATTAATATTTTCTATTTTCCTTCTTTTACAGAAACAAGGGACCAAGCGTGTGATCCAATTGAAAAACTAGATATTTCTTTCCTCGGGAATCAGAGTGAAATAGGTACTGTGTTGTTTAGAAATGTTTGCCATTTGTTTTTAGGATCTGGTTTGTTTTTTTATACAAAAACAATTGCTTATACTAACAATCAAGAGAAACATCAGAAAAAAAGAAGTCAAGAGGTGTTCAACAGCAATTAAAGCAATTAGTCACTTCTCTTCCCCTGAATCCTACGGAGCTTAGCTGTTCTCAAGGTGCTACCAAACATTTTTTATATAGATATTTGACATTTTATAGCACCTAGGAGCTGCTCATGTTTCTTTGACACATAGGACTTTGCTTAAGACCTTTCTACATCTCATCTGAGCTACAGGCTAGAAAAACAGACGAAAGTGGAAGAAAATACTCATAATTAATTCTAAAATTGTGATTGACTTTACAGAGGCCAAGATTTCATGTTCCGAATCAAACTGTCTGATCAACATATCAAAATATTTAATACAGAGTAGACCCTCTATCTTTGACAAGTATATGCATTAGACACAGTGATGTGTGATCTAGCAGATAGGACGGCAAAAATGGGAGAACTGGTATTAATCCACAACTGTTTATTTTTATTTTTTTTAATAGAACTTAAAACTGGTTAGCATTAGTGAAATATAGCCGTGTAGCTCCTTGATACTATCAGCTGCTTAATTTGCTCTTTCTAACAGTCATTGACAACGCAGATGGCTCACGTTACAACGCGGATGGCACACGCCATGGCGGAGAGTCCTCGACCTCAGGCGCGGAGGAGGAAAATGTAGGCAGTGGGTTGACACATGACACAACTCCCATGGACGCCTCCATCAGAAGATCCAGCCCCTCGTATTATGGAAGTGCTACTCCGGCCTCACAGCTGCCAGATCACTCTTCTGGAGGGGGTGAAAAAGAATATCCTACAAAAGATTTTGGTAAGGACACTAAGTTGTGGCTCTACCCCCTTTAAAACAGCTGAGTGGAAGGTTATGTTGCTAGGTAAAGGATATCATGAGGGAATGAGAAGCACCGTCTCTAACTTGTGTCCTGGTGAAGGAAAAGAATGTGTGTCTTTGAAGGAAAACAGAACCATTCTGAATTTCAAGGGATGTTTTTCACTGGGCGGGAGGACAAAGCAGCCATACACCAGTATAGTTTCCCCACAGGAAAATATCTATTCTGAACGTACCCCCAGGATGTTGAGAATAGGTACTTGTAAGAATTTGCTTTTGATCTTATTACAATATTGATTTCACTAAGGGCTCAAAATCATGTCTAGCAGTGAACACAGAGTTCACAGAGGGGCTTTTTTTAGGACAACTTACTACAGCGTATTACTGAATGCACAGAGATATAAAAATGTCAAATAAAAGTGCTATTAATAACTTCTTCCTTTAGGTAGTAAACCCAAATTCTATTTGCATGAAGCCCTACCAAATACAAATGCCATACTCTTTTCTAGGGCGTTCTGCGGGATGGAAAATTAGTGAACTAGAGCAATTTGACTGTGCCTTGCTTTTTTTGTGCAAGTGACATGTATTTTATTTCATCTTTTATGTTGCTTTCAGCAATTTGACTGCGCCTTGCTTTTTTTTTGTGCAAGTGGCATGTATTTTATTTCATCTTTTATGTTGCTTTACGTACCCCCAGGATGTTGAGAATAGGTACTTGTAAGAATTTGCTTTTGATCTTATTACAATATTGATTTCACTAAGGGCTCAAAATCATGTCTAGCAGTGAACACAGAGTTCACAGAGGGGCTTTTTTTAGGACAACTTACTACAGCGTATTACTGAATGCACAGAGATATAAAAATGTCAAATAAAAGTGCTATTAATAACTTCTTCCTTTAGGTAGTAAACCCAAATTCTATTTGCATGAAGCCCTACCAAATACAAATGCCATACTCTTTTCTAGGGCGTTCTGCGGGATGGAAAATTAGTGAACTAGAGCAATTTGACTGTGCCTTGCTTTTTTTGTGCAAGTGACATGTATTTTATTTCATCTTTTATGTTGCTTTTGTGGCTAAAATTACCAGACCTCTGAAACGCTATCTCCCATTGAATCTCTAAGTACAGTAAATTTACTATGTGACCTCTGACTGCAAGCTTTTTACCAAACCACCAATAGCTTCCCAGTCAAGGATACCAGTAATCTGCACTGCAGTACGTATGCCCCCTGAAATATCCTTACTATGTTAGCATCTTTGGGATTGAGTTATGTGAAGAACTTAATCCATAACTTCCATAGTGAAACAACAAATGAAGGAATGAAGCTTGCAGTATAGCGTAATTGAAGTAGTTACCCGTTGCAACTCAGCTAATGTAACGATTCATCCATCACCGTGCAGATTACAGAGTTTCTTCTCTATCACCTGACGTCTCCTCGGTGGCAGCAGTTGATGATTACACTGAAAAAGACGATGGACAGTATCCTGCCAGTACTAGTAAGTTTTATGTGTTATAATAGCTATATCAAACACAGATTGCATTAAAACTGCTTTCTTCTTCTAGCAGGGCATTCTGGTAAGTGGTGAAGTATACATCATCTCCAATTTTGAAAAGACATTCAAAGACAGTACTTTCCAGACTGTTTAAGCTGGGAATAAACTTCACTCTCCTGGGACAAGGGGAGCAAAACCATTTATTGTATGTTTACTTCGATGCTTATATATGAGTTCAGAAAGATTGTTGTTTTGTGCTTCCCACTGCTTTTTTACCACACTTCTTTGCCCTGTGAGGCAACAATCAATTATCATTTGAAGCCAATTTATTTCCAAGGTAGAAAAGGACATTTTTGACAATTTGTGATGAAAGCATCTATGATTCTAACATGGTGATGGTTGTGAATGTGGCTCAACACCATGGCTTCACTCAGCAAAGCAATGCTTTAAGTGGCAGTTCCAATTGCCAGGCCACTTGTGCACTGCAAAAACTGCTTTCGTCCTTGTTGCCGGCAACACACGAGAGAAAATTGGTGCCTATAGTGGCTCCACTGGCTTCGAGGGCTCCAAAGAACCATTTTCTCTGTTTTGTCCTTATGTATCTTTAATGAGTATGAAAAACTGCTGGTGAAGTTATTATCAAATAAGTTTTTTGAAGTCAGCTTACACGTTTTAACATGGAATGGTAAGTATATTCACTCTAGTTCTTAGTTTAGAGCGATAAAGATCTTTGCCCTAGAAAATAAAGTGAACCTAAAGGAAGATCATTTTAATTACACATAGAAGATCTACGGAGGCATGTTGTAGTAAAGATTGAGCTGATAGAAATGAAAACTTCTTCCTATTCCCCACCATGGAAGGCTGTGATAGTGAAGAATTTTTCTTAATTGCTTGTTGGTTGTGGATAGATGGTCAAACGGTCTATGTGACGTAGATGGATGGTGCCCTTGTTACTGTCTTTAGAAATCACAGGATCTGTCCTTTAGTAAGAACGATTGCATGTCTTACAAAGTTAGTAAAAGCTTTACTAAAAGACACTAATCAGTCAACTAAGCATCTTGTCTCAGAGGATATGAAGGTTAGTAATAGCTTATAAATATGTAGATGGAAAAAAGAAATATCAGGCTGATTTTTTCCCCCTAGACCTTGAAAACAAGTGAAGTGTTTTCTGGTGTTTGTTTCAAGTGAAAGGTTTTGCCACAGAGTTCTGCCCCCTTTGCCCATGGAACCCCACGGGGTAACAGTGGGGAGTGTGGTTGACTCTGGTGGTGGGTTTTGCTTCATATTTATTTGATTTTGCATGAGTGTGGGACTTGGTGACTCCTTCTACAGATGTTGCAATGTGCCCATTGCAAAAACTTGTGCCTCATTTCTAGGCAGGAAAGCTTTTGGTTTTCCTTTCACTACTTGATTATCAAATGTATCAATCCTAAATCGGTATGTCTCTTCCTACTGCAAACAGTTCTCTCTCTCAGGCATGACTCCTTTCCAGAGGTATTTAAGATTTCAAAACATAAAAATAGCTATAAATCTATGTAATAAAATTTGTCGATACTGATACATGTGTATCACAGAAGCGATAGCATTGGCATGATTGTTTATTGGTTTAGCATTGATAGATTGATTCTCTGGAAAAAAAAAAGATTATGAAAGTACTGCACCTGAGCTATCCTGACAGCTTTTGTCACAGTTCCATCCCAAAGCTCCAAATCTGAGACCGCCTGGGTTGTGATGGTCTGTTGCTCAGAGATTTTAAATGCTCAGGTTTCCCATTTTCTGACACTAGTGTCAGAGAAGTAAAATTAGTACTAAGTTTAGGGAGCAGTCACTGACTGTGAGAAGAAAGGATACTTATTCAGTCAAGGACAGCTTTTCAGAAAGACAAAATCTATTAGGTCGCTGCCAAAATAGCTACACCTTGAAAAAGGGCAGTTCTGAGTTTAAGTCCGTATACCTTGTAGAGTTTGCAGTTTATAGAGAGGCAAAGCATAACTACTGCCGGCTGAAGAACGTCAGTTTATCTTCTTTAATCATTAGAACTTTGATTCATAGCTTTTGTAATGATTTCAGATATTGCACAAAAGATTATCGAAACTAGTGTCTTTGACACTCAAAATATATTTCTAAATTAGTTGTTTAAAGATTTTTTTTCTGAATGAAAGAGTGCACGATATCTTTTCTTCATCATGGTAAGATGGTCTAAATGCTGATAACAATATTGCCTGTGAGGAACTGCCAGAATAAAAGCATTTTCAGAAAAATATTTTCAAGTACATTTTGCCTTTTTTTTTTGGTGAATATATGTACAACTTGAAACGTAGCTCTTCTTGCAAACTCTGCTTCTCAGTTTGTTGGTGAATAGCTTTGCAGAGGGAAAGGTTGAACTATCAGCTGGCTTGCTTGAGGGGTTGCAGTTTCTATGGTGTGCCTGCTTCTTGTAGCTTCGAATGCTTTTTGTCAAAATACTGGGATGTGTTTCACATACAGTACCTATTTTGATCTGTCACACCTAAAAATGCTGTGCAGAATTCATTGACTTTACTGGACTTTCAGAGCTGGTAATGCGATCCTATACTTCAGTAAAATGTTTCAAACTTCCCTTACACTAAAAGCACTGGACATTTTCGCTGTTTGAGGAATGTAATGATACTACGGGTTCATACATTCGCCTTGCGCTCACATCCGTCTCAGTGGCATGAGCATGCTCAGGGAGTTGGTGCTGGTGGACTTGACTTTGCTGGAGGAAAAGGTGCTTCTCAAGAAATAATTACAAGATCTTGGTTGAAAGAACCATGTCCTAACAGCTCCAGGACCTCATCGTGGCAGCTCGGAGAAAGCCACCACCCAAGATTGGTGGAATCCGTTCTCAAACCACTGGTGGTATCTTGGAGAGAAGAGGCAAGAACCTACGCGAGGAACCAAGGGTAAAGAATGTCACGCTGAGAGGGTGCTTTGATTGGGAGCCGAATACCCAGAGCCCCAGGGCAGCAAGCTTCAGAAGCCTTAAGTGGAGGGAGGTTGCACGTGTGGTCTATGTCAGTGGTTTCTGTTACTGTGTGTTTGAAGTGGGAAAAGCAAAGTCTTGGTCTATCTCTTACTGGCTGTGCGTTGGGTAGAGACAGGTCAGTTGTCCACATTGCTCATGCGCTGCAGAGGTGCTCTGTGTCTCTGAAAGGGATGGATGGATATGTGAGTCATTTGGTAGAGGATGTGTTTGGTTGGTTGGGGTTTGGGGGTTTTCTGTGTGGTTTTTTTTTTTGTTTGGGTTTTTTATTCTTGTTCAGAGGCAATTTAGAAGTGTTCCAATGAGAAGGATTTCTGGGGGAAAGGAAGAAAACATTTTCAAGCCAGTACACTGTGCTTACTCTGCTAGAAGAGGACAGTGTGGGTAGTGCTGGAGGCCTACACAGGGCAATGGAATGTAGCTAAGAGCCATGGTGGGGCAGCTTCAGCACGGCCGTGGCAGACTGATGAATCCCTTGTGGGTAGAAGAACCAGGAGGAGATACGGGCTGTGGAAAGCACGGTGCTGTGCACTTTCCTCTGTGATGCTAAGGCTATGTGTCAGGGAGACAGGAGAGCATACCTGCCATCAGCAGAAGACCTTGTGGGTTAGGGCTTCATGGCAGATTTAACGTCACTGCAGCAGATGTGACCTCAAGTGGCAACGGTTCAGATGACGAAGACTCTTCAGAGGACACCCTTTACCCAACAGTGTTTCCAGGCTGGGACGGCAGTGTGGTCAAGGACGAGTATGCTCCAAGTACTAGTAAGGAACTTCCTTTCTTTTTGGATGGGTTCTTTCTTCTTTTCCCTGCCCTGCCTGGTGTTCCTTCTTATTTGCCACACATTTACTGTGTGAAATTTGGATGCTCTCCCGATCAGCTCTTACTTCTACAGAGGTTATAATGTCTCCTTTTTTTGTATTTTAATTTATTTTAATTTGAGCACTTCTTCATATGACTTTTGCCTGTGCACTTATTTACTCGGTAGTGTTTTTAAATTACTGTTTCTGAGTTTGTTGGTTTGAGGGTTTTTTTCCTGAAAAGAGTTGGAGTGCTTAGGGTTTTTTTCAGCAGTGGTCTGAACAAGCAATCTTGCTTTGGGATTTTCTATTCCTTAGCCTGAGTTTTGGGTATTTCTGGTGTTAGTTTATCTGCCTTTGAGACTCTGCATTGGTGACTTATTCTACATGGTCTATTGCATTCCATCTACCTTCTACGGCCTAGTGGTGTCTGCATGCTCCATCGGTGAAAGCGTATACGTGTCTGATCATGGACTCTTGTGGAAGTTTTATTTTATCTGCTCAATTGTATTACAACTTTCTTGACTAATGTTGGCTTCCGGGTGGCTCTCAGGGTGCTTTAGTCTTTTTGCTGACCACAGCTTTTGAGCTCAGTGGTGGATGTTCTGACATGAATCTGAATACTTCTTGAATGCTTAGCAAGCATGTTTTACATGTATTCAGACATCTGCTGTATTCTTTAGGTCCAGCATTACTCTTCAAGCCTGAGTTTGAATGTTGTAATAGTGTTGTACTACTTCTGCTATACATTATTCTTCTATTGTTTGTTTTCCACGTTCCTCTTGGGAAGCTACACATCCATCCAATGGAAAGGAAAGAACAACTGGTTTGTTGCAAAGAGGTTTGCTAAGAAGGGTAGAGAGACTAAACTTAAGCGATGCACGAATTTCCATTTGCCGTCAGCTTTATGGCACACACTAATGCTACAGTGATAGTGGTAGATGTAGAGCACGGTCAGCATTGAATCCTCCATTGTTCTAACAGCTGTGGACTCGCAACACGAAACACTTTTGGAAATCTCCACACCACATCATCAGAACCCTCCCTATACAGATGAAGAGGAGCAGTATCCTAGCTCTGCCGGCAGGGGTAAAGCAATTAAGCGTTTCGGATAATACTCAGATTTGTGACATAATTCCATGAAGTTTGACACTGTTTTGGTGCAGCTGGTTGTAATTCCCATACCATTAGCCTCAGTT